CTCACAGACCTGTTTGTTTTTCTTTAAGAAGCCCTCCTGTTCTCCACTCATTACCTGTATTTACTGCACCTGTTTGAACTCGTTACCTGTATAAAAGACACCTGTCCACACACTCAATCAAACAGACTCCAACCTCTCCACAATGGCCAAGACCAGAGAGCTGTGTAAGGACATCAGGGATAAAATTGTAGACCTGCACAAGGCTGGGATGGGCTACAGGACAATAGGCAAGCAGCTTGGTGAGAAGGCAACAACTGTTGGCGCAATTATTAGAAAATGGAAGAAGTTCAAGATGACGGTCAATCTCCCTCGGTCTGGGGCTCCATGCAAGATCTCACCTCGTGGGGTATCAATGATCATGAGGAAGGTGAGGGATCAGCCCAGAACTACACGGCAGGACCTGGTCAATGACCTGAAGAGAGCTGGGACCACAGTCTCAAAGAAAACCATTAGTAACACACTATGCCGTCATGGATTAAAATCCTGCAGCGCACGCAAGGTCCCCCTGCTCAAGCCAGCGCATGTCCAGGCCCGTCTGAAGTTTGCCAATGACCATCTGGATGACCAGAGGAGGAATGGGAGAAGGTCATGTGGTCTGATGAGACAAAAATAGAGCTTTTTGGTCTAAACTCCACCCGCCGTGTTTGGAGGAAGAAGAAGGATGAGTACAACCCCAAGAACACCATAACAACCGTGAAGCATGGAGGTGGAAACATCATTCTTTGGGGATGCTTTTCTGCAAAGGGGACAGGACGACTGCACCGTATTGAGGGGAGGATGGATGGGGCCATGTATCGCGAGATCTTGGCCAACAACCTCCTTCCCTCAGTAAGAGCATTGAAGATGGGTCGTGGCTGGGTCTTCCAGCATGACAACGACCCGAAACACACAGCCAGGGCAACTAAGTAGTGGCTCCGTAAGAAGCATCTCAAGGTTCTGGAGTGGCCTAGCCAGTCTCCAGACCTGAACCCAATAGAAAATCTTTGGAGGGAGCTGAAAGTCCGTATTGCCCAGCGACAGCCCCGAAACCTGAAGGATCTGGAGAAGGTCTGTATGGAGGAGTGGGCCAAAATCCCTGCTGCAGTGTGTGCAAACCTGGTCAAGACCTACAGGAAACATATGATCTCTGTAATTGCAAACAAAGGTTTCTGTACCAAATATTAAGTTCTGCTTTTCTGATGTATCAAATACTTATGTCATGCAATAAAATGCAAATTAATGACTTAAAAATCATGACAATGTGATTTTCTGGATTTTGTTTTAGATGCGTCTCTCACAGGGAAGTGTACCAATGATAAAAAATTACAGACCTCTACATTGATTTGTAAGAGAAAACCTGCAAAATCGGCAGTGTATCAAATACTTGTTCTCCCCACTGTATATATGTGTATAAACTCAGCAAAAAAAGAAACGTCCCTTTTTCAGGACCTTGTCTTCAAAGATAATTTGTAAAAATCCCAAATAACTCACCAGATCTTAATTGTAAAGGGTGAAACACTGTTTCCCATGCAGGATGGTGAAATTGGTAGCTTACTGTTAGCATACTGCACTGTCGGAGCTAGAAGCACAAGCGTGAGGTTGTTTACTTTCCTTTCTAGCTAGCTAGAGTGAATCGGACTGTCAAACTGGCCAGCAACAACTCTGCCTACTGTTGTGTTGTGGTGGGACACTTCCAGAAAAGTCTGAACTAACTAGTACTATTTTATTTGAAGTCTTTCCAGGAAGTGTGTCCCTACTACAGTGCAGTACCCCAAAAAATGTTATCTTTGACATGAATCATTGAAAAAGAGTGAATAAATATAACCATGGCCATCACAGATGTTTGTCAGCTAAAATAAAGTCAAACCCTCATGACGCATTCAGTCGGCAAGTGTGTAGAATAAGACACGGGTGATTAATTCACTGTGTGACAGCAAACATGTAGACCTTTATAATAAATCAAGGTTCTAGGTTCATGTAATTATAATAGAAGCTACTGCAGCTTGTTTCGGGGCACCATTTTCAGTGCCACAGGCCTACTTTTCACAGGCCAGTGTCGTGGAGTTGTTCGGTCCATTAGCAACCCCTCTATTGATTGAAACATGAGAAGGGTGCTAAAGACATCCTCTGCAGCACACACCGAAACAGGCAGCTCACTAACACGAGATGAGGAGAGTCATTGGCTGCCCCCAGATGCTAGGAAATGGCTCCCAAACGATGATCTTGGGTCCGTTTTGTGAAGCGCTCCCATAGTGCTACATGTTGCACAGATACGAGGTCTAAAAGTCGGGGTGATGTCACAAAGGTCGGGGTGATGTCACAAAGGTCGGGGTGATGTCACAAAGGTCGGGGTGATGTCACAAAGGTCGGGGTGATGTCACAAAGGTCGGGGTGATGTCACAAAGGTCGGGGTGATGTCACAAAGGTCGGGGTGATGTCACAAAGGTTGGGGTGATGTCACAAAGGTCGGGGTGATGTCACAAAGGTCGGGGTGATGTCACAAAGGACCATAGAGAGAAAACATTGTTCCATCTCTATGACAGAGGCTGTCAGGTGTCGGCCCAAACTCGGCACAGTCAGTGTAAACTCAAACCGCCATGAAAGATACGCTAAACAGCTTTAACAGAGAGCTTTCTTTTTCTTGCCCAGAGATCATATTCATAAAGCCTCCCAGAGTGGATTCAGTTTAGCCTTTTATATCATAATAAAATCAGGTTAACAAGGACTGGGGGGGGGGGGGGGTCTGATCAAAAATCAGCCCTTCTAGTCAGTGACGGTTTGTGAATACGGGCCCTGATGAGTGTATAGGCTGGTTGAACAAGAATCTGAACACAATGAAGCACTGCATTTCCTCTGGTGTATCCAGGCTGCGCCAGAGACTCTTCATTCTGACAGTTGGGAATTTCGGAATGATTTGGACGACTACATTGAATCCTTCGGTTTCACCCAACTCCCGGGGGGGAAGTTTCCCCAAGGTACAGACAGATCCAGGATCAGATTCCCCTCCCCCAATCCCTTAAACATTAGTGGGGAAAAAGCAAACTTCATCCTTCACATTCCACCCATAGATCAAATAAGAAATGACCACTAAGTCCTAAACACAGTCCAGACAAACAGAATGTCATAAACAACAAACGTGAGTGTTTCCACTTTAAATGTTTTGAGTAACATCCAGACAGTTTGTCTTCAGTGCATCTAGAAGGTGCAGAACAGACATTACAAACCAGTGCAGAGTCACACACACACACACACACAGTCTGAAATGACACCCTATTCCCTACATAGTGCACTACTTTAGACCAGAGCCCTATGACACCCTATTCCCTATATAGTGCACTACTTTAGACCAGAGCCCTATGACACCCTATTCCCTATATAGTGCACTACTTTAGACCAGAGCCCTATGACACCCTATTCCCTATATAGTGCACTACTTTAGACCAGAGCCCTATGGCACCCTATTCCCTACATAGTGCACTACTTTTGACCAGAGCCCTATGACACCCTATTCCCTACATAGTGCACTACTTTAGACCAGGGGGCCCCACTATATAGAGCACATGTCCAACTCATTCCACGGAGGGCCGAGTCTCTGCAGGGTTTTCACTCCTCCAACTCATTCCACAGAGGGCCGAGTCTCTGCAGGGTTTTCACTCCTCCAACTCATTCCACAGAGGGCCGAGTCTCTGCAGGGTTTTCACTCCTCCAACTCATTCCACAGAGGGCCGAGTCTCTGCAGGGTTTTCACTCCTCCAACTCATTCCACAGAGGGCCGAGTCTCTGCAGGGTTTTCACTCCTCCAACTCATTCCACAGAGGGCCGAGTCTCTGCAGGGTTCTCGCTCCTCCTTTGGACTTGATTGATGAATTAAGGTCACTAATTAGTAAGGAACTCCCCTCACCTGGTTGTCTAGGTCTTAATTGAAAGGAAAAAACTAAAACCCGCAGACACTTGGTCAGGGTTTCCCAAACTCGGTACTCGGGACCCCAAGTGGTGCACGTTTTGCCCCTAGCTCTACACAGCCGATTCAAATAATCAACTAATCATCAAGTTTTGATCAATTGAAAATCAGCTGTGTAGTGCTAGGGGCAAAAACCAAAATGCGCACCCCTTGGGGTCCCGAGGACTGAGTTTGGGGAAACGCTGCACTAGGCCCTCCATGGAATGAGTTTGACACCCCTGATATTGGGAATATGATGCCCTTTGGGACGTAGCCATGCTAATGCCCTACAGTGGAAAATTTGTCTTTACAGTATTGCTACTCCCTCGCCTGTCCTGACAGGGCAGGTTTCCTGGACCTCGTCCTCCGCTCCCTGAAAAGGCCTGCGAGGGCTTAGGTCAGCTCTCCATCTCCACCAGTCTTTGTACTATGAGTATAAGTCTTTAGATTCACATCCACACAGTCCTCTTGCTTATTAAACACGGTCTGTTCAGTTCCCGAAGTTCCTTTTGACTTCTCTGAACCTTTTTGCCATTTGATACCGTTTTAAGTTTGTCTATGTTCGTTCAACCCTTATTAGGGTCATGCCGACGACATCCCATCCGTTGAGGAAAATAACAAAACCCCCCAAAAAAAAAACATGAAAAACTAATTTACAGTCATTTGCGATCGAGATCCAGTGAGTGAGTTAGTCTGTCTGTCTGCTGGATATAGCTGACTAGCAGCAACACCCGTCTGGATCAACCCTGGGACTATGTCCTCTGTCACAGCAGCCTGGTTATTAGGCCAAGGTCTGTACATAATAATAATAATAATAATAATAATTGGTCATTTAGCAGACGCTCTTATCCAGAGCGACTTACAGGAGCAATTAGGGTTAAGTTCCTTGCTCAAGGGCACATCGACAGATTTTTCACCTAGTCGGCTCGGGGATTAGAACCAGCGACCTTTCGGTTACTGGCACAACGCTCTTAACCACTAAGCTACCTGCCGCCCACATCCATCTTGCTCTCTTTCATTCCCCTCTTCCTTCCTTCCTCCCTCCCTCTCTGATCATCCATTTGTTTTCGTTTCTCTCCTCTCAGGTTTTCCTCATCATCCGACGTGTTTGCCAGGCGTGGAATTTATTGTAGGCCATCTGAAACATGTCCTCCAGGTGTCCCGTAAGCTGTGGGAGAGATTCAAAACAGAGTTTCATTATTTGACTTTATAAAAATGTAGGTATAGATGTTTATTAGCGCCTATGTTGAGTTGTGATGCATTATGCCATGTCTCATAAGTCGTTATAAATGTGTTTTATAATGCTTTTTGAAAGAGCTTCCCTAGATAACCAGTAAGCTGTGAGAGAGATCCAAAACAAAATACATCTTATTCTGAAAGGAATAATAAATAATTGACTGGGGCTCTCCAGGGGTTACAGGTTAAACACTCAGGAGACCGAGTATGCAAGGGGCACTTTGAAAAGGTAGATAGTCCATAGTAACATGGACAGTTTATTCGGTACACCACCCCCCGTTCATGAAAATGGATCTAGCGTAGCGCAATGACTGGAAGTCTATGGGTATCTACTAGCATTGCAGAACACTAGTTAGCATTGTCTCATGAAAGAACCTTCAGCTTCCTTCATACTGGACACAGAGACATAACAACGGTATCCGCAAATTCAAAATCCCGAAGTATCCATTAGACTTAGTCATGCATGTATACATTCCCGTATTGGTGGCACCGGTGGGAATCGAACCCACGACCCTGAGGTTGCTGGCGCCGTGCTCTACCAACTGAGCCACTGACAGGACCTCCCTATAGCAATTGAAGACAATTTATTCTAGAAGGTATAATCCTATTAACACTATCAGCTACCCGAATTAGAAAAGGAATGAGTCTCAAGGTCGGGTCTTACGTTAGTACTCAAATACTGGCGCTGGATCTTCTCCTTGAAGGGGCGGAGCTTGGTCATCTGGAATCTCTCCAGGTTGGCCCTCATCTTCACCACCTGACAGGAGAGAAGACATGTTAAAAGTTATCAAACTTTATCAAACCCAGGGGGTTACTTTTCCTATAGAGACCTCAATAAACTCTGTAGCAGGATAGCTAACACTGATGTCGGGACCTTGACAAACTTAACAGTGAGTGATGACCATGAAAACACGCCAGACCGTTGGCTATAGCTATGTTCAACAAGCGTAATATTCTTCTGGCTTTATCTGGCTCTATTCGTGATACTTGTCTTGCTTCGCTGGCTTGCTAGGTAATCAATCCTCTGATGACATCTGCGATGTTGTAGACCAGCCATACTCAACTGGCGGACCGCGGTCCGGACCCAGAGAAGGGTCAATCCGGACCGGACAACACTGCATTTTGTTATATAAAAGTCGAATATTTGTAAACAGATTTTTTTTTTCGTTTTATTTTAAACGACCGGGCGCAGCGGCCTCTTTAACTCAGCACCTCACTTTCGCTCTCTCTCGAAGCAACGCCCACCTCTACTAGTGCCCCGTCTAATCCAATCGCGTGGTTATATGCAAATACAAGAGGCCGCGTCTTACCCAATCACATCAATCCAAATATCCTCTGCAGAACCTTGGGACAAGCAGGCAGAAAGAAACAGGAAGATCTGACCGCGGTTCAACTGTTAACATCACACATAGGAGCTTAGTTACCAGTATCTTTGTTAATATGGCTTGTTAAAAAAAAAAAAGAGAAGTTGACTGAAAACCGTGTATTCAAAGAAGAGTGGACGGAACAGTATTTATTAATTCTCCCCTTAACTGGCACAAAACAAAATGTGCCTGATATGCAGTGAGTCCGTAGCTCTCGTGAAAACCACTATGACACAAGGAATAGTAAATTGGATCAGACGTATCCCCTGAACACGGAGGTGAGAACAAACTGGATTAACCAACTCAAATCCCAATATGAGACGTCCACCAAAGACCTTGTCAATTCCCTGACAGCCCAACAACGTGTTCACTGAGGATAGCTTGTGTTTTGGGAAAACACAAAAAAAAACACACAAAAAAAACGTTTTCAGACGCGGAGATGGTAAAAGGATGCATGTGTGAAGTTGCTGACACCTTCCTTGAAGGTAAACAAAAGGATGAGCTCAGGGAAAAAGATCAAACAGATCCCACTGTCAAGATCCCACAGCAATGAGGAGAACTGAAATATTAGCTGAAGATTTAACTTCACAACTTGATGAGGCCATTCAGAATGCACCATGCATTTCATTAGGATGAATTAACAGATAATGCCCAGCTTCTGGTGTATGTCAGATTTTATAACGAAACAAAGAAGGTATTCTGTGAGGAGCTGTTGGGCTTAACACATCTAGAAGCACACACACGGGGAGAGGATATCCATGAGGCCATCAAAGGAATGCTGACAAAAATGGGGATAGATCTGAAGTCAGTGGTCTCCATCACCACAGATGGAGCTCCAGAAAATGGGGATAGATCTGAAGTCAGAGGTCTCCATCACCACAGATGGAGCTCCAGAAAATGGGGATAGATCTGAAGTCAGAGGTCTCCATCACCACAGATGGAGCTCCAGCCGTGACAGGAAGAGGGAGGGGCCTGGTTGCACGTTTGAAAGAGGACCACCCTGACCTGACATCATATCACTGCATCATCCAATCATCTGTCCTGTGTGCCAGTCTGGGATTCTGAGGTCATGACGTCGATTTTGAAACGGATCAACTTTTTGACAGCAACATCATCCCTACAACGCCGCCTGCTACGAGGCATTCTGACTCACTACTGCACAACAATGTCAGATGGCTCAGCAAAGGCAGGGTTTTGGAACGCTTTTGGCCCATTCAGGAGGAAATCAAAGCTTTCTTATCAGAGCAAAAAAGTGACAAGGCAACTCAAGTTTTCTGAGTTTTATGGAAGATGAGGAGAAGATGGAAACAGTTGCCTTTTTGACAGACATGACATCACACCTTAATCAACTGAATGTTAAGCTGCAGGGACGGGACAACACAGTGTGAGATATGATAACGGCAGTCCGGGGATTTCCAGAATAAATTGGAGCTTTAACTAATAACTTGTCCACTTCCCCCAATCTTCCGGTGCAAACGCAGGGAGACAAAGATGTTCCCAACAATGTAGATTTCATCCAGAAGCGGATGGAGAACTTCCAAGGCTCGCTTTGATGACTTCACTGTTGGAAGAGAACTGCTGCTGCTCATCCAGAACCACCTTCTTGGTCACAAATGTGACAAAGTTGTCAGAAGAGGCTAAAACAGATCTTCAGATGGGTAGATGTTGCATCACTGAAATGGAGTTGATGGAGCTGCCAGAAAATGGGGCTTTGAAGGAGCCGGTTAGTGATTGTGACCCTGTCAGTTTCTGGGGAAAGAAAGCACTACAGTACTTACAATACAATACTACAATACAATACAACAATACATATATACAATACAATACTACAATACAATACTACAATCCATATATACAATACAATACAACAATACTTATATCCCTCATTAAAATGCAAATCAATTTATAACATTTTTAACATGCGTTTTTCTGGATTATTTTGTTGTTATTCTGTCTCTCACTGTTCAAATAAACCTACCATTAAAATTATAGACTGATCATGTCTTTGTCAGTGGGCAAACGTACAAAATCAGCAGGGGATCAAATACTTTTTCCCCCTCACTATATCTGACTGGGTTAATAACTCATTTTGTGTTCTTGTGGAACCTGGGACTTAGACTTGAGCACTTGGACCAGGAACCGAGCAATGGGAGATTTCAGCCATAGGGACTCGTGACTCGACCATTGGGGACCTCAGCTGTTTACCAAAACGGTGGCGGTGACCCGCTTTGTTATTGTTTGAGCTGCAGATTGCCCCTTTAAGCAGTAGTCACCTTCTCTTCCAGGAAGGGTGTGTTGACAGGAAAACAGGACCAGAAGTGTCTCAGCAGCTCCCCAGCAGCCGTGTACAGATGCTTCAGCTCCCCCTGAACGTCGTTGGGCACCATCTCTGTGACAAGGAAACAGAACCAATAGAACTAAGCAATAAGTAACAAGAGGCAGCGCTGCTATACTATAGCATGACTACAGTCACAGGTAGACTACAGTCACAGGTATAGCAGACTACAGTCACAGGTAGACTACAGTCATAGGTAGACTACAGTCACAGGTAAGCCCCAGCGCTATACTGTAGCAGACTACAGTCACAGGTAAGGCCCAGCGCTATACTATAGCATGACTACAGTCACAGGTAAGGCCCAGCGCTATACTATAGCATGACTACAGTCACAGGTAAGGCCCAGCGCTATACTATAGCATGACTACAGTCACAGGTAAGAGGCAGCGCTGCTATACTATAGCATGACTACAGTCACAGGTAAGGCCCAGTGCTATACTATAGCATGACTACAGTCACAGGTAAGGCCCAGCGCTATACTATAGCATGACTACAGTCACAGGTAAGGCCCAGTGCTATACTATAGCATGACTACAGTCACAGGTAAGGCCCAGCGCTATACTATAGCATGACTACAGTCACAGGTAAGGCCCAGCGCTATACTATAGCATGACTACAGTCACAGGTAAGAGGCAGCGCTGCTATACTATAGCATGACTACAGTCACAGGTAAGGCCCAGTTCTATACTATAGCATGACTACAGTCACAGGTAAGGCCCAGCGCTATACTATAGCATGACTACAGTCACAGGTAAGGCCCAGTGCTATACTATAGCATGACTACAGTCACAGGTAAGGCCCAGTGCTATACTATAGCATGACTACAGTCACAGGTAAGGCCCAGTGCTATACTATAGCATGACTACAGTCACAGGTAAGGCCCAGCGCTATACTATAGCATGACTACAGTCACAGGTAAGGCCCAGTGCTATACTATAGCAGACTACAGTAACAGGTAAGGCCCAGTGCTATACTATAGCAGACTACAGTCACAGGTAAGGCCCAGTGCTATACTATAGCAGACTACAGTCACAGGTAAGGCCCAGTGCTATACTTTAGCATGACTACAGTCACAGGTAAGGCCCAGTGCTATACTATAGTAGACTACAGTCACAGGTAAGGCCCAGTGGTATACTATAGCAGACTACAGTCACAGGTAAGGCCCAGCGCTATACTATAGCATGACTACAGTCACAGGTAAGGCCCAGTGCTATACTATAGCATGACTACAGTCACAGGTAAGGCCCAGTGCTATACTATAGCATGACTACAGTCACAGGTAAGGCCCAGCGCTATACTATAGCATGACTACAGTCACAGGTAAGGCCCAGTGCTATACTATAGCATGACTACAGTCACAGGTAAGGCCCAGTGCTATACTATAGCATGACTACAGTCACAGGTAAGGCCCAGCGCTATACTATAGCATGACTACAGTCCACAGGTAAGGCCCAGTGCTATACTATAGCATGACTACAGTCACAGTGTAAGGCCCCGTGTATAACTATAGCAGGACCTAAAGTCCACAGGTAAGGCCCAGCGCTATAACCTATAGCATGACTAGAGTCACAGGTAAGGCCCAGTCGCAATAGATTATAGCATGACTATAGTCCACAGTAAGGCCCAGTGCTATACTATAGCATGACTACAGTCACAGGTAAGGCCCAGTGCTATACTATAGCAGACTACAGTCACAGGTAAGGCCCAGTGCTATACTATAGCAGACTACAGTCACAGGTAAGGCCCAGTGCTATACTATAGCAGACTACAGTCACAGGTAAGAGGCAGTGCTATACTATAGCATGACTACAGTCCACAGGTAAGGCCCAGTGGCGATACTATAGCATGACTATACAGTCACAGATAAAGGCCCAGTGCTATACTGTAGCAGACTACAGTCCCAGGTAACGGCCCAGTGCTATACTATAGCAGACTACAGTCACAGGTTAAGGCCCCAGCAGGGCTATACTATAGCATGACTGACAGTCACAGGTAAGGCCCAGCGCTATACTATAGCATGACTACAGTCACAGGTAAGGCCCAGTGCTATACTATAGCATGACTACAGTCACAGGTAAGGCCCAGCGCTATACTATAGCATGACTACAGTCACAGGTAAGACCCAGTGCTATACTATAGCAGACTACAGTCACAGGTAAGGCCCAGTGCTATACTATAGCATGACTACAGTCACAGGTAAGGCCCAGTGCTATACTATAGCAGAATACAGTCACAGGTAAGGCCCAGTGCTATACTATAGCAGACTACAGTCACAGGTAAGAGGCAGTGCTATACTATAGCATGACTACAGTCACAGGTAAGGCCCAGTGCTATACTATAGCATGACTACAGTCACAGGTAAGGCCCAGTGCTATACTGTAGCAGACTACAGTCACAGGTAAGGCCCAGTGCTATACTATAGCAGACTACAGTCACAGGTAAGGCCCAGTGCTATACTATAGCATGACTACAGTCACAGGTAAGGCCCAGCGCTATACTATAGCATGACTACAGTCACAGGTAAGGCCCAGTGCTATACTACAGCATGACTACAGTCACAGGTAAGGCCCAGTGCTATACTATAGCATGACTACAGTCACAGGTAAGGCCCAGTGCTATACTATAGCAGACTACAGTCACAGGTAAGGCCCAGTGCTATACTGTAGCAGACTACAGTCACAGGTAAGGCCCAGCGCTATACTATAGCATGACTACAGTCACAGGTAAGGCCCAGTGCTATACTATAGCATGACTACAGTCACAGGTAAGGCCCAGTGCTATACTATAGCAGACTACAGTCACAGGTAAGGCCCAGTGCTATACTATAGCATGACTACAGTCACAGGTAAGGCCCAGCGCTATACTGTAGCAGACTACAGTCACAGGTAAGGCCCAGTGCTATACTATAGCATGACTACAGTCACAGGTAAGGCCCAGTGCTATACTATAGCATGACTACAGTCACAGGTAAGGCCCAGTGCTATACTATAGCAGACTACAGTCACAGGTAAGGCCCAGTGCTATACTATAGCATGACTACAGTCACAGGTAAGGCCCAGTGCTATACTATAGCAGACTACAGTCACAGGTAAGAGGCAGTGCTATACTATAGCATGACTACAGTCACAGGTAAGAGGCAGTGCATTCGGAATGTATTCAGAACCCATATTTTGTTACGTTACAGCCTTATTCTAAAATGGATTAAAAAAAATATATCCTCATCAATTCCTCGTCACACAATACCCCATAATGACAAAGCGAAAACAGGTTTAGACATTTTTGCAAATTAATACAAAATTATAAACAGAAATGCCTTATTTACATAAGTATTCAGACCCTTTGCTATGAGACTCGAAATTGAGCTCAGGTGCATCCTGTTTCCATTGATCATCTTTGAGATGTTTGCTTCAACAAAGTACTGAGTAAAGGGTCTGAATACTTATGTAAATGTAATATTTCCGTTTTTGCTTTGTCATTAAGGGGTATTGTGTGTAGATTGATGAGGAAAAAAAACAATTTAATCAATTTTAGAATAAGGCTGTAACGTAACAAAATGTGGAAAAAGTGAAGGTTGTCTGAATACTTTTCGAATGCACTGTAGTCACAGGTAAATGGCGTTGTTCGGCTCAAAGCGAAGCTCGTCCAATCAGCATTCAAGCATACAAGTTAGAAACCATCTGGGTTGACGACTTAAGTGCACTGAGAAAACCTAACACATTTTTCAACCAAGCTATCAGATGAAGCACAAATGAAGCGAGATTTCAAATGTATTCATAAGATAAATAATCTTGACCTAATGGCATCAGTAAACTCACGGTTAATGGCTTGCTGTGCTCCTGCCTGCATGAGAATACCCCCTGGGGAGAGGGCAGCGATGGCACAACTGGCTGTACTGCTGGACATCACCTGTAAAGGGAAGATCACTGTTAAGAAGGTCATACCAAGGATCATTTAGCTATTTGATTGAATTTTAAGACCCCTTGAAGTATCCCCCACAAAATGATGATGAAAATCTTTGGGGCCTTACTGCTATTAGCCCATACAAACGCATTGAATAACAGATTCACTTCATGGAACAACAGATAGTCCCCCCCCCCCCATACAATCTAAAGGAAGTTTGTTCTGAAGTGTCTGTCCAATATCTGAGAGATATAAGAAATATCAGGAAACATTTGTAAAAAAATTAAATAATAATAATAATAATTGGTTACATGTATTTAACCCCTTATTTTTGGCACTATCTCCATATATACAGTGCATTCTGAAAGTATTCAGACCCCTTTACTTTTTCCATATTTTGTTATGTTACAGCCTTATTCTAAAATTGATTAAAGAAATAAAACTCCTCATCAGTCTACACACAATACCCCATAATGACAAAGCGAAAGCTGGTTTTTAGAATGTTTTGCAAATGTATTAAAAATACAAAACTGAAATACCTTATTTACATAAGTATTCAGCCCCTTTGCTATGAGACTCGAAATTGAGCTCAGGTGCATCCTGTTTCCATTGATCATCCTTGAGATGTTTCTACCACTTGATTGAAGTCCACCTGTGGTAAATTCAATTGATTGGACATGATTTGGAAAGGCACACACCTGTCTATATAAGGTCCCACAGTTGACAGTGCATGTCAGAGCAAAAACCAAGGTCGAAGGAATTGTTCGTAGAGCTCCGAGACAGGATTGTGTCGCGGCACAGATCTGTGGAAGGGTACCAAAACATTTCTGCAGCATTGAAGGTCCCCAAGAACATAGTGGCCTCCATCATTCTTAAATGGAAGAAGTTTGGAACCACCAACACTCTTCCTAGAGCTGGCCGCCCGGCCAAACTGAGCAATCGAGGGAGAAGGGCCTAGGTCAGGGAGGTGAATGGGCTCCAGAGTTCCTCTGTGGAGTTGGGAGAACCTTCCAGAAGGACAACCATCTCTGCAGCACGCCACCAATCAGGCCTTTATGGTAGGGTATCCAGACGGAAGCCACTCCTCAGTAAAAGGCACATGACAGCCCGCTTGGAGTTTGCCAAAAGGCATCTGAAGGACTCTCAGACCATGGTCAAACATTCTCTGGTCTGATGAAACAAGGATTGAACTCTTTGGCCTGATTGCCAAGCGTCACGTCTGGAGGAAACCTGGCACCATCCCTACGGTGAAGCATGGTGGTGGCAGCATCATGCTGTGAGGATGTTTTTCAGAGGCAGGGACTGGGAGACTAGTCAGGATCAAGGCAAAGATGAACGGAGCAAAGTACAGAGAGATCCTTGATGAAAACCTGCTCCAGAGCGCTCAGGACCTCAGACTGGGGCGAAGGTTCACCTTCCAACAGAACTACGACCCTAAGCACACAGCCAAGACAACGCAGGAGTGGCTTTGGGACAAGTCTCTGAATGTCCTTGAGTGGTCCAGCCAGAGCCCAGACTTGAACCCGATCTAACATCTCTGGAGACCTGAAAATAGCTGTGCAGCGACGCTCCCCATCCAACCTGACAGAGCTTGAGAGGATCTGCAGAGAAGAATGGGAGAAACTCCCCAAATACAGGTGTGCCAAGCTTGTAGCGTCATGCCCAAGAAGAGGCTGTAATCGGTGCCAAAGGTGCTTCAACAAAGTACTGAGTAAAGGTTCTGAATACTTATGTAAATGTAATATTTTATTTTGTTATTTTTAATAAATCTGCAACAAAATCTAAAAAAATGTTTTTGCTTTGTCATTATGGGGTATTGTGTGTAGATTTTTGTGGGAAAAAAACGATTTAATACATTTTTGAATAAGGCTGTAAACGTAACAAAAAGTCAAGGTCTGAATACTTTCCGAATGCACTGTATTTCCATTCATTTCTTTCAACTGGTACCGGGGGACCTTCAGACTAATCTTGTGAGGCCGGTGGGCGTCCTAGAGCAAAACAACCGACGTGCATATTCGTGAGAATTACTGTGTTGCCCAAACCGTTCGGACGCTACAGACAGAAGTTGGCAGATTGGCTTCAGACGAGTCCCAAGATGCTTGTGGAGGTCTTAAAGCAAAACGGAGACCACCATTGGTGTTTCCTGAGAGTCTCAGCTTTTCATAATCGTTCGTAGGCCAAACTGTTCGGATGCTACAGACGATTTTGTGAGAATACTGATCTTCTGGACGTCTCACGGCCTGACAAACACAGCTCTAGCAGTCAACTTTCACCACATATCCAGAAATGCGACATAGTGGTAGACAGAGGCATCCAATGCAATAAAACCTGATATCTCTAGCTTAAACTGACAGATTTTTATGGGTTAACAAGACCTTTAGAACAAATATTACAGAATTGGACAGAAAAACTGATATATTACGCCTGGACAGGACCTTCAACACAAGAAGTACAGTTTGGGTACAGTATGAATTTCAACGCCGAAGAAACAGATATTTGTGGATATAGTTGCAAAATTATGGAATTGTTCCCCAAAACCCCCAGGTTTTCCAGAAATCCTGTTTGGAGGATTCTAGATGTCCTGCTTGTTCCCTCCCGATTCCGGGAATCTTCCAAGCAGGATTTCTGGAACACCTGGGAATTTGGGGAAAGTTACCGGAATTTTGCAATCCTATTCGTGGAGAAGCATAGTGCTAGCTAACCGGAGTAAGGTAGGGCTTGTAGCTGGCTAGCAGAGTGGTATCTAACCTGAGTAAGGCAGGGCTTGTAGCTGGCTAGCAGAGTGGTATCTAACCTGAGTAAGGCAGGGCTTGTAGCTGGCTAGCAGAGTGGTATCTAACCTGAGTAAGGCAGGGCTTGTAGCTGGCTAGCAGAGTGGTATCTAACCTGAGTAAGGCAGGGCTTGTAGCTGGCTAGCAGAGTGGTATCTAACCTGAGTAAGGTAGGGCTTGTAGCTGGCTAGCAGAGTGGCATCTAACCTGAGTAAGGCAGGGCTTGTAGCTGGCTAGCAGAGTGGTATCTAACCTGAGTAAGGCAGGGCTTGTAGCTGGCTATTTCATGCTGTATACAGTTGACAGAGTTGATGATGTCTTGACTGGTGGTGTACTGTTGGGGCAGGAGAGGCACAGGACCGTGAGAGTACCTGGAGAAAAAGGTTGAGGATTCAGATACATAAACAAAAACAAACGGAGAGCACGCCAATTCCAGAAGTATGGTGTCCATAAACAAAGGTCAGAGAGAGCAGAGCACCAACTGTGTTATGGAACCCACCTGTCAGACTTCTTGAGGTTCAGAGTGACTGTCTTCTTCCTGTTTTCCCTGTGAAGGTCCTCATACTCTGTGGTCTCTTGGATTCTCACCTGCAATATACCACAGCTGTAACGTCACCTGAGATATACCACAGCTGTAACAACGTCCCCTGAAATATACCACAGCTGTAACGTCACCTGAGATATACCACAGCTGTAACAACGTCACCTGCAATATACCACAGCTGTAACGTCACCTGCAATATACCACAGCTGTAATGTCACCTGAGATATACCACAGCTGTAACGTCACCTGAAATATACCACAGCTGTAACAACGTCACCTGAGATATACCACAGCTGTAACAACGTCACCTGAGATATACCACAGCTGTAAAGTCACCTGCAATATACCACAGCTGTAACAACGTCACCTGAGATATACCACAGCTGTAACAACGTCACCTGAGATATACCACAGCTGTAACAACGTCACCTGAGATATACCACAGCTGTAACAACGTCACCTGAAATATACCACAGCTGTAACAACGTCACCTGAGATATACCACAGCTGTAACAACGTCCCCTGAGATATACCACAGCTGTAACGTCACCTGAAATATACCACAGCTGTAACAACGTCACCTGCAATATACCACAGCTGTAACGTCACCTGCAATATACCACAGCTGTAATGTCACCTGAGATATACCACAGCTGTAACGTCACCTGAAATATACCACAGCTGTAACAACGTCACCTGAGATATACCACAGCTGTAACAACGTCACCTGAGATATACCACAGCTGTAAAGTCACCTGCAATATACCACAGCTGTAACAACGTCACCTGAGATATACCACAGCTGTAACAACGTCACCTGCAATATACCACAGCTGTAACAACGTCACCTGAGATATACCACAGCTGTAACAACGTCACCTGAGATATACCACAGCTGTAACGTCACCTGCAATATACCACAGCTGTAATGTCACCTGAGATATACCACAGCTGTAACGTCACCTGAAATATACCACAGCTGTAACAACGTCACCTGAGATATACCACAGCTGTAACAACGTCACCTGAGATATACCACAGCTGTAACGTCACCTGCAATATACCACAGCTGTAACAACGTCACCTGAGATATACCACAGCTGTAACAACGTCACCTGAGATATACCACAGCTGTAACAACGTCACCTGAGATATACCACAGCTGTAACAACGTCACCTGAAATATACCACAGCTGTAACAACGTCACCTGAGATATACCACAGCTGTAACAACGTCCCCTGAGATATACCACAGCTGTAACGTCACCTGAAATATACCACAGCTGTAACAACGTCACCTGCAATATACCACAGCTGTAACGTCACCTGAGATATACCACAGCTGTAACAACGTCACCTGAGAATACCACAGCTGTGAACAACGTCACCTGAGATATACCACAGCTGTAACGTCCCTGAAATATACCACAGCTGTAACCAACGTCACCTGAAATATACCACAGCTGTAACAACGTCACCTGCAATATAACCACAGCTGTAACGTCACCTGCAATATACCACAGCTGTAACAACGTCACCTGTAGATATACCACAGCTGTAACAACGTCACCTGAGATATACCACAGCTGTAACGTCACCTGAAATATACCACAGCTTGTAACAACGTCACCTGCAATATACCACAGCTGTACGTCACCTGCAATATACCACAGCGTAACAACGTCACCTGAGATATACCACAGCTGTAACAACGTCACCTGAGATATACCACAGCTGTAACAACGTCACCTGAAATATACCACAGCTGTAACAACGTCACCTGCAATATACCACAGCTGTAACGTAACCTGAGATATACCACAGCTGTAACGTCACCTGAGATATACCACAGCTGTAACAACGTCACCTGAGATATACCACAGCTGTAACAACGTCACCTGAGATATACCACAGCTGTAACAACGTCACCTGAGATATACCACAGCTGTAACAACGTCACCTGAGATATACCACAGCTGTAACGTCACCTGCAATATACCACAGCTGTAACGTCACCTGAAATATACCACAGCTGTAAACAACGTCACCTGAGATATACCCACAGCTGTAACGTCACCTGAGATATACCACAGCTGTAACAACGTCACCTGAGATATACCACAGCTGTAACAACGTCACCTGCAATATACCACAGCTGTAACGTCACCTGAAATATACCACAGCTGTAACAACGTCACCTGAGATATACCACAGCTGTAACAACGTCACCTGAGATATACCACAGCTGTAACGTCACCTGCAATATACCACAGCTGTAACGTCACCTGAAATATACCACAGCTGTAACAACGTCACCTGAGATATACCACAGCTGTAACAACGTCACCTGAGATATACCACAGCTGTAACAACGTCACCTGAGATATACCACAGCTGTAACAACGTCACCTGAGATATACCACAGCTGTAACAACGTCACCTGCAATATACCACAGCTGTAACAACGTCACCTGAAATATACCACAGCTGTAACAACGTCACCTGAAATATACCACAGCTGTAACAACGTCACCTGCAATATACCACAGCTGTAACAACGTCACCTGAAATATACCACAGCTGTAACGTCACCTGCAATATACCACAGCTGTAACAACGTCACCTGAAATATACCACAGCTGTAACGTCACCTGAAATATACCACAGCTGTAACAACGTCACCTGAAATATACCACAGCTGTAACAACGTCACCTGAGATATACCACAGCTGTAACAACGTCCCCTGAGATATACCACAGCTGTAACGTCACCTGCAATACCACTTAACAACGTCCCCTGCCGAACCAGCTGTAACAATGTCACCTGCGATATACCACAGCTGTAACAACGTCACCTGAGATATACCACAGCTGTTAACAACGTCACCCTGAGATATACCAAGGTAACAGTCACCTGCAATATACCACAGCTGTAACGTCACCTGAAATATACCACAGCTGTAACAACGTCACCTGCAATATACCACAGCTGTAACGTCACCTGCAATATACCACAGCTGTAACAACGTCACCTGAAATATACCACAGCTGTAACAACGTCACCTGAAATATACCACAGCTGTAACAACGTCACCTGAGATATACCACAGCTGTAACAACGTCACCTGAAATATACCACAGCTGTAACAACGTCACCTGCAATATACCACAGCTGTAACGTCACCTGCAATATACCACAGCTGTAACAACGTCACCTGAAATATACCACAGCTGTAACGTCACCTGAGATATACCACAGCTGTAACAACGTCACCTGCAATATACCACAGCTGTAACAACGTCACCTGAGATATACCACAGCTGTAACGTCACCTGAAATATACCACAGCTGTAACGTCACCTGAAATATACCACAGCTGTAACGTCACCTGCAATATACCACAGCTGTAACAACGTCACCTGCAATATACCACAGCTGTAACAACGTCACCTGAAATATACCACAGCTGTAACAACGTCACCTGAAATATACCACAGCTGTAACAACGTCACCTGAAATATACCACAGCTGTAACAACGTCACCTGAAATATACCACAGCTGTAACAACGTCACCTGAAATATACCACAGCTGTAACAACGTCACCTGCAATATACCACAGCTGTAACAACGTCACCTGCAATATACCACAGCTGTAACGTCACCTGAGATATACCACAGCTGTAACAACGTCACCTGCAATATACCACAGCTGTAACGTCACCTGAAATATACCACAGCTGTAACGTCACCTGCAATATACCACAGCTGTAACGTCACCTGCAATATACCACAGCTGTAACGTCACCTGAGATATACCACAGCTGTAACAACGTCACCTGCAATATACCACAGCTGTAACGTCACCTGAGATATACCACAGCTGTAACAACGTCACCTGCAATATACCACAGCTGTAACAACGTCACCTGAAATATACCACAGCTGTAACGTCACCTGAAATATACCACAGCTGTAACGTCACCTGCAATATACCACAGCTGTAACAACGTCACCTGCAATATACCACAGCTGTAACAACGTCACCTGAAATATACCACAGCTGTAACAACGTCACCTGAAATATACCACAGCTGTAACAACGTCACCTGAAATATACCACAGCTGTAACAACGTCACCTGCAATATACCACAGCTGTAACAACGTCACCTGCAATATACCACAGCTGTAACGTCACCTGAAATATACCACAGCTGTAACGTCACCTGCAATATACCACAGCTGTAACGTCACCTGAGATATACCACAGCTGTAACAACGTCACCTGCAATATACCACAGCTGTAACGTCACCTGAGATATACCACAGCTGTAACAACGTCACCTGCAATATACCACAGCTGTAACGTCACCTGAGATATACCACAGCTGTAACAACGTCACCTGCAATATACCACAGCTGTAACAACGTCACCTGCAATATACCACAGCTGTAACAATGTCACCTGCAATATACCACAGCTGTAACAACGTCACCTGAGATATACCACAGCTGTAACAACGTCCCCTGAGATATACCACAGCTGTAACGTCACCTGAAATATACCACAGCTGTAACGTCACCTGCAATATACCACAGCTGTAACAACGTCACCTGAGATATACCACAGCTGTAAGTACCTATAGCAGAGGCCAAAAGGCTAAGTGCCTATATAGCGGGGATGGGAGAGAGATGAATGCTATTATTCTGCATCAAAGCTCTTCATGTATTCATAAATCTCAGCGCCAAGCAAGCCTTTATCTTGTATGTTTAGACTCACAACAGAGATGTTATGATACCTTCTTAATTGGAGGTTGGAAGAAGTCCGAGTCCCTTGAGTTTCCGTCAGTACTGCTAGTCTCACTGACCTGATCGTTAGGAACGTCCCTAAGAAGACAGACAGGTTAACACACAGGTTCTGCAGTGAAATGCTGAGGAAAATCACTTTTAGGAAAGAATGTCATCTACTCACGCGTTCTTTCCGGAGCCTGCGGCCAGCACCATCGTACTGTGGTGGTTGAACCTCTTGATGATGGTGGAGTTACTGCTCTCCTTCACGGTCTTGTTAGTGTTGGACGTAGAAGGTGCTGTGGAGTTGGTCCCATAACCCTGGAGAGAGAACAGTGATTAGTGTTGGACGTAGAAGGTGCTGTGGAGTTGGTCCCATAACCCTGGAGAGAGAACAGTGATTAGTGTTGGACGTAGAAGGTGCTGTGGAGTTGGTCCCATAACCCTGGAGAGAGAACAGTGATTAGTGTTGGACGTAGAAGGTGCTGTGGAGTTGGTCCCATAACCCTGGAGAGAGAACAGTGATTAGTGTTGGACGTAGAAGGTGCTGTGGAGTTGGTCCCATAACCCTGGAGAGAGAACAGTGATTAGTGTTGGACGTAGAAGGTGCTGTGGAGTTGGTCCCATAACCCTGGAGAGAGAACAGTGATTAGTGTTGGACGTAGAAGGTGCTGTGGAGATGGTCCCATAACCCTGGAGAGAGAACAGTGATTAGTGTTGGACGTAGAAGGTGCTGTGGAGTTGGTCCCATAACCCTGGAGAGAGAACAGTGATTAGTGTTGGACGTAGAAGGTGCTGTGGAGTTGGTCCCATAACCCTGGAGAGAGAACAGTGATTAGTGTTGGACGTAGAAGGTGCTGTGGTGTTGGTCCCATAACCCTGGAGAGAGAACAGTGATTAGTGTTGGACGTAGAAGGTGCTGTGGAGTTGGTCCCATAACCCTGGAGAGAGAACAGTGATTAGTGTTGGACGTAGAAGGTGCTGTGGAGTTTGGTCCCATAACCCTGGAGAGAGAACAGTGATTAGTGTTGGACGTAGAAGGTGCTGTGGAGTTGGTCCCATAACCCTGGAGAGAGAACAGTGATTAGTGTTGGACGTAGAAGGTGCTGTGGAGTTGGTCCCATAACCCTGGAGAGAGAACAGTGATTAGTGTTGGACGTAGAAGGTGCTGTGGAGATGGTCCCATAACCCTGGAGAGAGAACAGTGATTAGTGTTGGACGTAGAAGGTGCTGTGGAGTTGGTCCCATAACCCTGGAGAGAGAACAGTGATTAGTGTTGGACGTAGAAGGTGCTGTGGAGTTGGTCCCATAACCCTGGAGAGAGAACAGTGATTAGTGTTGGACGTAGAAGGTGCTGTGGTGTTGGTCCCATAACCCTGGAGAGAGAACAGTGATTAGTGTTGGACGTAGAAGGTGCTGTGGAGTTGGTCCCATAACCCTGGAGAGAGAACAGTGATTAGTGTTGGACGTAGAAGGTGCTGTGGAGTTAGTCCCATAACCCTGGAGAGAGAACAGTGATTAGTGTTGGACGTAGAAGGTGCTGTGGAGTTGGTCCCATAACCCTGGAGAGAGAACAGTGATTAGTGTTGGACGTAGAAGGTGCTGTGGAGTTGGTCCCATAACCCTGGAGAGAGAACAGTGATTAGTGTTGGACGTAGAAGGTGCTGTGGAGTTAGTCCCATAACCCTGGAGAGAGAACAGTGATTAGTGTTGGACGTAGAAGGTGCTGTGGAGTTGGTCCCATAACCCTGGAGAGAGAACAGTGATTAGTGTTGGACGTAGAAGGTGCTGTGGAGATGGTCCCATAACCCTGGAGAGAGAACAGTGATTAGTGTTGGACGTAGAAGGTGCTGTGGAGTTGGTCCCATAACCCTGGAGAGAGAACAGTGATTAGTGTTGGACGTAGAAGGTGCTGTGGAGTTGGTCCCATAACCCTGGAGAGAGAACAGTGATTAGTGTTGGACGTAGAAGGTGCTGTGGAGTTGGTCCCATAACCCTGGAGAGAGAACAGTGATTAGTGTTGGACGTAGAAGGTGCTGTGGAGTTGGTCCCATAACCCTGGAGAGAGAACAGTGATTAGTGTTGGACGTAGAAGGTGCTGTGGAGATGGTCCCATAACCCTGGAGAGAGAACAGTGATTAGTGTTGGACGTAGAAGGTGCTGTGGAGTTGGTCCCATAACCCTGGAGAGAGAACAGTGATTAGTGTTGGACGTAGAAGGTGCTGTGGAGTTGGTCCCATAACCCTGGAGAGAGAACAGTGATTAGTGTTGGACGTAGAAGGTGCTGTGGAGTTAGTCCCATAACCCTGGAGAGAGAACAGTGATTAGTGTTGGACGTAGAAGGTGCTGTGGAGTTGGTCCCATAACCCTGGAGAGAGAACAGTGATTAGTGTTGGACGTAGAAGGTGCTGTGGAGTTGGTCCCATAACCATGGAGAGAGAACAGTGATTAGTGTTGGACGTAGAAGGTGCTGTGGAGTTGGTCCCATAACCCTGGAGAGAGAACAGTGATTAGTGTTGGACGTAGAAGGTGCTGTGGAGTTAGTCCCATAACCCTGGAGAGAGAACAGTGATTAGTGTTGGACGTAGAAGGTGCTGTGGAGTTGGTCCCATAACCCTGGAGAGAGAACAGTGATTAGTGTTGGACGTAGAAGTTGGAGTTAATCCCATAACCCTGGAGAGAGAACAGTGGCATAGTAGAGTTAATGAAGTTACCCCAGACACTGATCTAAGGTCAGTTTTGTGTTTTCCCCCTACTGGTTAAGGTCAAGCTATAATAATAATAATAATAATAATAATAATAATAATAATAATAATATGCCATTTAGCAGACGCTTTTATCCAAAGCGACTTACAGTCATGTGCGCATACATTTTTACGTATGGGTGGTCCCGGGGATCGAACCCAGTACCCTGGCGTTCCAAGCGCCGTGCTCTACCAGCGGAGCTACAGAGGACCACAGCTGGTCCTAGAGATGTACCTAGGGGTAACTTTAACCTGGGGCTGATGGCGACATGCAGGATTAGAATGAGAATGCTCAAAACCTCTCCAACAGTCAACAAATTACCACACACTTTCTGGTGTCCAAAGAATACGCAGCAGGGTTGTGTTCAGTAGGGCCAAAACGGAACAAAATGGCCAGAAACTGGAAGTAACTATCTGAATTTGTCCAATAAGAAAAGTGTTTTTTTTTCTTCTCTGGTATGCCCTAATGAACATAACCCTTGTGTAACATTACAGGCAAGGACTGTTCTTCTCACCTCCTCTGACGGCTTGTCCTCCAGTGACAGCAGGTCCAGCATTGGATTCTTCACTCCTTGGACTACCATGGACTTCAAGCCTGCAGAGTCATAACAATTATTTGTATAGCACATTTCACACTGAGAGATAGCGACTCAAAGTGCTTGGCTGGGAATTGCCAAGGACCTCGCCATACAATATTGATACTAAAGGTGCGATATGATATGTATTGCGATTCGTTTTTTGATCAGTCAAAAAAATGTGGCTCTCTATTTAAAAAGAACAAGCTATGAAGGAAAAATATTGGAGTTTTGGTGCAGGTTTAGCCAACTAGCGCAAAAATAATTAAGTGATAATGCCAGAGAAACCGGTGTTTGGAGGATATATTGGCATTTATTCATACTATTTTATCCTTCCACGAGATATAGTCCTGACACAAATCTAAAGTTGCTACCCAAGCCGGCTGGTCGTTCGTTCTATCGATTCGGTTGCAAGTCGTTACGTTTTTTTGGTTCTGTATCTATGTTCGTTCTAAATGTTCCATTGCCAATTCTGGCTGGCAACGTTCCTATCCCTTGCTTGCTAGCTAGCCAACTACGGCTAACTTACAGTCACGTCAGAAAGTGCAGCCAGTATAACAACAAAGTAGCTGCATTTGCATTTGTTTAAGCTGTTTTCTAGTGACATTTATTTGGATACATCCATAACAATGAGCTAATGAGGCGCGATTTCGCCTGGCGTATAAAATTTGCTCTCTCGTCAGGAGACTTTTGTTCAGAGCAGCTAGCCAACACAGCCAACACAATCACTTCAAACGGAAGCTGGAAAGACAGCAAACTAGCTGCATTTAGTTTTGTTTGACCTGTTTTCTATTCACCTTTCTTTGTATATATACATACAAATTATGCCAGCTGATTCATGATTTCGACTGGCTGCGAAAAGCTGCCTGCTTGTCTGTCTCGTCCCGACACATTCATTACTATGCGACAGCTGGAGATCGAATTTCAATATTGAAACAATTGCACATTTCTGAGAAACAGACAGCAAGGTTTATACAAATCTCCACTGTTGAAAACCAATTGCTAGTCTAAAAGAAATGGGAGAGAATGTCTAGATGCTTTTTATAGTGGAGATCAAGTTTATAAATTGCCTGGCTGGGCTGATGAGACAGTGGATTGCAACAGAGTAAATAGGAGTCGGCAACCTTTCTCATGTGGAATGCCAATTTATCTTAACATTTCTACCAATCTGCGTGCCAGTTATGGTTTTCATATGCACATTTGCGTGAAACAGTTTTCATTTATAATAACGTCTTCATATCTCTAAATCATTTTCATGTGGTGAATCAAAATTCAATCCAAATCTAAATGAAAATGATACAAACCTACAAAGTAACTTCTATTGCCAACTATGTAAAAAAAAAAAAAAAGCCTCCATAAAGCCAACAAATAAAAACATTGCAGCCTGCAGGTAGAAAATATCCTGAAAATCACATTGGCTACACATGGCCTGTCTGCAACGAACTTTAAACATTGTATCAACTACTAACTACTCAGGCTTCTGGCCATTTTGAGCCTGTAATCGAACCCACAATTGCTGATGCTCCAGATACTCAACTAGTCTCAAGAAGGCCAGTTTTATTGCTTCTTTAAAATCAGCACAACAGTTTTCAGCTGTGCTAACATAATTGCAAAATGGTTTTCTAATGATCAATTAGGCTTTTAAAATGATAAACTTGGATTAGCAAACACAACGTGCCATTGGAACACAGGACTGATGGTTGCTGATAATGGGCCTCTGTCCGCCTATGTAGATATTCCATTACAAATCAGCCATTTCCAGCTACAATAGCCATTTACAACATTAACAATGTCTACACTGTATTTCTGAAAATGGCTTTTCTTTCGAAAACAAGGACATTTCTAAGTGAGCCCAAACTTTTGAGAGAGAGAGAGAGAGAGAGAGAGAGAGAGAGAGAGAGAGAGAAAGAGAGAGAAGGTACTTTGGATGGTAGTACTCTATAAGTAGTAATCAGAATGTGTATATAATGACTAATATTTATAGCAGTAACTTAGTAGCCTATTTTCTCCCCACCCTGTGCAGGTCAGAAGATCAGCCCAGACGGCAAGGCCAAGATTCAGCTGCAGTTGGTCCTCCACACGGGGGAGAGCACCAACTTCCACTTCTCCAACGAGAGCACTGCCCTGAAGGACCGCGATGCAGCCAAGGTGTGTGTATGTGTGTATGTGTGTGTGATACATATACACACACACACACATATATACACACATATATATATATATATATATACACATACATAAATGTGTATATATACACATATATATACATATACATATATACACACACACACATATATATATATACACACATACATATATACACACACACACACACACACATATCTATATACATATATATATATATATATATATACACACACACACACACATATATATATATACACATATATATACATACATACATACATATATACATCTATATACACATATATCTCTATCTATCTATCTCTCTGTCGACCAACAGCCTAACGACCAAACAATCGTTCAGTCAACTAATCGTTCAGTCGTATATAATATTGCGATACGTAACTGTATCGATCCCCCCCCCCATCACTAGTACATGAGAAAAACAATAATATGCATAATATGGACTGACTACTCTCCATGTGAGAAGTGGCCTCACCCTTCTCGTCCTGCTTGGCACACTCTGAGAAGATGTCCTGAAGGCCCGTGTTGACGCGGTCTCGGTGGAAGTAGTGGGACTGGAAGAACCGTGTCCAGAACTCCTTCTCTGTCAGGTTTTGAGGAACGTTCTCGCCATACTTCTGTTTCACTGGGAGGAAACAAATAAGTTTGTCAATGACAGGACCCCGGTGTGAGATGAAAAACCATGGCCCTTTTGGAATACATTCAAAACGATGTACTTACCTTCACTTATCCAATCATGTACAGATCAGTGACTACCGAGGAAGGAAGAAAAGCAGCAGGTAATATATATAATATATATAGAGACCTAGTCATGCATACATTTTATTTGAAGGTATTCCAACAGGGCCCATAGTTTCATCATCTACCTGCTTATGGTGGCCAATCATAACGTGTCGATCACTAAGTAGGCACCATTGGTTTACATGACAGAGAAGCGGAGGTATCTTACCTGCAGGGTACGTCCTGAAGACGGACTCGATTATGTCAGAGGTAAGATTGTATCTCAGGCCGTTACAGCCGTCGGTCTGGGGCCGTATGTCCGCCTGAAACAACAACAAAAAGATATGACCCCTTTATGCACCCTCCACCTCTACCATTTACACTCCCTGCATCCCAACTATCTGTGTTTTCTCCAGGAGTGTGCACTCGTGCAGTACTCCCCACACATTTAAAAGCACTGGATTGGTGTAACCAAGGGGATAGACAGAGAAGGGCAGATTAAGGGGAGACAGTGACAATTTGACGATGGAAAACATTGGCTTTAGGGATGTGCATCGTTCCCTTTCAAGACCATTTGATGTACCGTATCTAAGATACATTGGGCTCCGATACGTAAGAGGAACGATACGTTTTAGTTTGTAAACGAGCCAGTTTCATCATAGCGCTTAATGGTTTTTGGTACTGCACATGTCTTAAAGTAATGATGGACTGTCGTTTCTCTTTGCTTATTTGAGCTGTTCTTGCCATAATGTGGACTTGGTCTTTTACCAAATAGGGCTATCTTCTGTATAAAACCCCTACCTTGTCACAACACAACTGATTGGCTCAAACGCATTAAGAAGGAAAGAAATTCCAAAAATTCACTTTTAACAAGGCACACCTGTTAACTGAAATGCATTCCAGGTGACTACCTCAGGAAGCTGGTTGAGAGAATGCCAAGAATGTGCAAAGCTGTCATCAAGGCAAATGGTGGCTACCTTGAAGAATCTCAAATATATTTTGATTTGTTTAATACTTTTCTGGTTACTACATGATTCCATATGTGTTATTTCATAGTTTTGATGTCTTCACTATCATTCTACAATGTAGAAAATAGTAAAAATAAAGAAAAACCCTTGAATGAGTAGGTGTGTCCAGACTTTTGACTGGTACTGTATGTCTATGGTGTGTACTATGTAGGTACCTGATATGAGCCATAATGGAGACTAGACATCTACCACCCCACTACCAGATTAGAGCCATAATGGAGACTATACATCTAATACCCCACTACCAGATTAGAGCCATAATGGAGACTAGACATCTACCACCCCACTACCAGATTAGAGCCATAATGGAGACTAGACATCTACCACCCCACTACCAGATTAGAGCCATAATGGAGACTAGACATCTACCACCCCACTACCAGATTAGAGCCATAATGGAGACTAGACATCTACCACCCCACTACCACTATTGTTGTAGAAACATTTGACTAGATAATTAACTCAAAAATATCTCTCAAGACATCAGAGCCTGTGAATTTAAGAATTTAGACTTTATTTAAAAAACAAAGCCGAGCCTTTTTCCAAAGAGACAAAGACTGTCCCTTTTTCGCCAAGAGCTCAATTTTATAGCCACATGTACAAACATTCCTAACTTTTTTTTAGTTCGTACCACCCTCTCATTCGATCATTCTATTGGCTGCGTGCCTAGGCCCCTTCTCAAAAGCCCCTTCTTAAAAAACTAATGTAAATGCAAACCAGATGTCTAGAACAACCCCATGGCCTCAGTTTAAAAACCCCTGTAAAATAACACATCATATCCTTAATGTCTATATTCATTATTTAAACATATATCTGGATTATAAAATATCAAACATGTTCATTCTGTTTCACCATTATCATTTCATAATACATTATAAAACATTTATCATTCATCATCCTCTCAGCCCCTGAGATGATGTGCATGTGGCCATGTGTCAGGTCATAAGGTCATAAACATAAAGAAACGCAAACACTAGTTCCATTGTTACTTCTATCTCCACAGCCATCACGTCATTCACATTCCTAAACCAGCTGCAGAAGTTTTCATGAAAAACACATAATTATCTCTGCTCTGAATTCAACTGGCTCTCAATCCATAAACACTCCAAGGCATATAGATTTTCAATTTTACAACAGATCCATGCTTATTACTAATATTATTATTTTACCTTTGCCTACACTTGCCTTCATGATACATAAAATAACACCACATATCCCCCCTTTGGGACATTATAATATTGTCCCATCAATACAAAAATTAATTACTCATATCACAAGTATTATAACAATTAAAATAATCAATATCCATATCTTAATCAATTAATTGCCATGTCAACATCACTAAGCATTAATATTATAAGTTATTCAGATCAGTCAGTCCACTTATAATTTATAATCATAATGAAATGAATTACCCAAAACAACTTTAAAATGACAATTCTTAATTAGTCACCTTTGTTCCATCATTCAAAGTTAAAACTCTCACCTTGGCACATCAATACTGGCTGAATGTATATTTATATTATACTAATTCTAGCATTAACTTCCTCATAACAAGAATTACATCAGATCAGTACCCTAATGCATTGTCCAAATTACTATAAATTTAGTAGTGTATAATACCTCCTTAATCAACATACTACCTCAACTAACACTCCTTCCTCTACCGGCACTCAATCTTCTGGCGTCTTCATTATTCTTCATTATGTTGTTCATAGTTCATTTTGAATTTCCAATAGCAATGTCCCAATTCCAATGTCACACCTGAACCACCACACCTCCACCATCATCCTGTTTTGTCCATGTGCAACCCAGTATATTGCTTTGATTTGATGCAGAAGTGGGTCGGACAGGAACATCTTCAACGCCTTTGTTGTTTCCTCTTCAGCCAAGTAGAGGATTTTTGGTTTTTATTGAGGTTTACACCGTTCTGAGCCAATTGATCTCTGCAATGCATTACGACACCATCCGTTGTAACCTCAGGAAAGGACAGATCATAACAGTTCAGTTGAGTTAATTTCCAATCCAAAACATCCCTATTAACATTGTCTACATGACAAATCATTATGTTTCACATTCTCCCTTGAATTCTTCCCAAATTATATAACCCAATTGTTTTATTGTAACATTCCTATATTTTTCTCATACTCTATTTGACATTAAGTTTCCCTTTCCTTGTTCCTATTCTAACACTTGCTTATACTTCTCTCTTCTAATAACACTTTCCCCTGGAAATCTAACACCAAATACTACATCAAATTGGTTATCTAAGTCTTGGACTGTTCTCCTTATGTCTATGATTCACTTGTCTCTTTCTTTCATTATCTTAAGGTCACACTACCCCATGTGACTTCCCCATACTCTTTGTGCTGGTTTCTCACACACCAATAATATTTTAACCCTTGTATTTTAATAGTGATCCCTTCCTGTATTTTTAGTTATGGTTCCTGCCTGTGCAAGAATCTACATTCTACTCCTTTCTATATCCCTTCTATGTCTTGTTCTTCTGCTCTTTATTATTATTCTCAGTACTCCATTCCCCTTATTCTCAGGTAACTAGTCAAGTACATAGAAATCAATGATAAGGATATCTGGTGCATCTTGGAGATCTGGAATCTCTCAATCATCAGTTCCCTCACTCTGGTACAATGGTTAAGATGATACCCAATACTCCCCTCTATCCGTACCATCGTTGGTATAACCTGGACAACAATATGTAGGTCACTTCTGTTGTTAACCTTCCCCCATCACTAGGATCTCCGGATCAGCCAAAGTCCCTCTCAATCTATCGACATCGGTCTGTGAAAAGTGTCCTTCTATCAGCCTTCTCATAAGGAAACTCAGAGTTACTGCTGCAAAAACACAAGCACAGACACACACAAAAAACAACAATACTACCCAATGGCTGAGGTTGGAACACTCCTATAGTGGAAAACATTAATCTTAGTATCTGTCTCCACCAGTTTTACCATCATTAAGGCAGCCAACAACACCTTTCCAGCTCTTTCTTCTGTAGTCTTTTGCCATCACATAGTCTCCAGGGCACAGAAAATACTCAGATTATCCTACTCAGTTGGACATAGCTATCTTCACCCATGAAAAGAAAATCTTAAGAACATTGTTAGGTTATTTGAGACACAGTATGCTACTCATGTCCTCTCATCCGTCAAGAGAAGCCTTGAGATTATGAAGCACACCTGCTTCCAGCTTGTTGTAGTCCACGTATCTCATAGACAGACCACCTCTACACCATGCCTCCTATCACAAAAACAAAAATTATTTAACCTAACCCATAACACATTATTACTACTTTCACATCCTTAATACACCTTGCATATTTCCCCACAAAACCATAATAAACCATTAAAACCTCTGTAATCCCAACTTCCCCCCTTGGACACATACATCACATCGTGATTTATGTGTACAAAAACAAAACAAAACAATATTGCCTATCAACCCTAAAATAATAACTAACCTTAAAATGACAACCCTTGAGCATATCTTTACTTAACTGTATTCCATAACACTATTCAATTAATACTTCTCATTCAGGACTAACTCTCTCACTACATCCTTGTCCTGTTTAGACTCATTTATATATAGGATTTTTCCAACTTGTAAACTTCTTCACAATTATCCTTATTTTATCTAACCCCTTAATTCAGCATGCCTCTAGAATTCATAGTGCGGTTGATCAGATCACACTATAAAGCCAGGACAGATTTCAGAGGTCATTGAAATCATTCAATGAATTGTTTCATCCTATAGTATACTACTTCTAACAACCATCAAAACCTTTCATAAATGTTGTAATTCCTTAGTACAGCTCTTTTCAAAATAAATCACACATATGTACTTATCCCTCAGTAAATAAAACCCACATTACATGTGTATGCCCCTTTAAGATATTTCACTTCCATCCTGTCAAAAAACCCCAAATAGAAATAAAAATCCTATACAACTAACATTTCATACTAAGTAGTTTGTTTGTGGTTATTTGAACACCATATAGTAAAACAATAACCAAACAAAAATGGCCAGGCCTTATTTATTTTTGTAACTCCCTATGACAACCTAAAAATAAAACTACTTAATTTTACTAACTAGTTCCACCCTAGCCTACAGACTTTTCTAACCTCCCAATAAAGAAATCCCCATGTTCCTGGAAGAGAAAGTATACATGTCGTTAACATATAATCATCAATCCAAAGATAGTAATTACACACAAAACATCATAAACCTATAACCCCTTTTTAGTAATTTAAACGTCGCAAACTGTTGCATCGATGTTTTCTTTTTTTTTTCCCCAAATATAAACTTATTGTTTCATAATCCAAAACCCATAAAAAGATGTCTACTTAATCCATCAAGTCAACAGCAACAACTACCTCCCAAGGTTCAACGTACTATAAACAATTCATCGTTATCTGAAGTAATAAAACATCATCATAACTCACTGCTGTTTAAACAAACAATATAATGTCATAATAAAATGATCAATTATCAAATATCGTTCCTTATTCAACTATCGAGACATGTTCTCCATTAGTTAATCGTCTCCACAAAGCAATACTACCTAATAACATATTCTCATTCTCCTAAATATAAACCAATAAAACATCAAATTCACCAATATGCTATTTCAATTACTATGTTATCCTATTCGACATAGATTGGTAGGACATCTTTCCTATAATGTTATCAACGAAACCAGTAATTCACATCAATAACATCAATGTAAAAGATTTGCTTTCTGTCCCCTACTGGATTCGAACCAGGGACCCTCTGCACACATTGACAACTTTCACCATAAAAGTACCATTACCCGGCGCTCCACCAGTGCCACACAAAGCATCTACTTCCAGTTCATAGAGCAAATGACATCACCCAACGAAAACCACACTAGCTTTCACCTCTAACTAGCTAGCAATCTCCTGCCAATAACATTCCACAACCTCCCACACCACGCGATCCCCATACACCTAACGTAGCCCACAACGTCCATTATAGCGCTCTCACATTTCAGCAAGTTTAACATCCACAGAGAAAAAATGGAAATTCTTCAATTTTTCCTAGCAGACGAAATAAAACCACTTTCAAACAGCATTCTGCATTTACCTCTATCATAGGGTTTAAAAACCCCACTTAACAACATTAACCATCCTAAATTGCCATAGTAACGTCATGTTTGGTTCAATATATCTATTACCATATAAGACATTCACTTCTCCATGCGTAGTAAACTATATCCTATTTCTCCTGTAATCAACTAAAATCATAGCCACACAATTAAACCATCACTCCGCCATTACAGAATGAATTAACTATTCTTGCTATGTAAGCCACAAGTAACACCAAACACTTGCTATAGTTTACCTCATATATTGAAATCATCCATTTATCACAATCCAATTGATTTATAGACATATTTCACCATTGTCACTCGTTTAATTTAGCAAAACCTCATTCAATGACTAAAAATTACTACCACGTTGTCTCCTCTCCGTTAATATTTTAGCAGATGCTCTTTTTCCAAACAACACTCACTTCGTGAGCTCATACATTCCTTTACTTATACTAGCCCCCCTTGGGAATCGAACACCCAACCCTGGCGTTGTAAGCACCGTGCTCTACCAACTGAGCTACAGCCACAGATAAGCGTATAGCGCCCTTTTCTGATAATGTTATAATTGTAGCCTATTGCATTACTTTTGTTTAAAATATACGTTTGTTTAGTCAACAAATCTAGAACCCACTATAAATGGGTGCTTATTCACTCAGCATAATAACCAAAGCTCCTTGCATCCCCTAGTTCACGTAATGAACATACATTATGATTCTACAATTCACCAAATATTCGCATACACCACTGGTGACGCAAACCATAGAATAAAATAATAACAATTAGAATTTTGTCAAATAGATGTTTTCCATCCAACTATTCAAAATTTCTTTAAATAACTATTTCAGCTCGATACAGTCAAACAAGTATAACTCTCTTTTTACCGGAAACTAATTCATGCTTTTAGTAAAATCTATTCACATCCCAACAATAGCTAAACTATACTTAGAAAACCTAGACTCTGTTCAGCGATGCAGAATCCATGCTTTATCGAAATGACAAGTTAATCCTCTTTTATTCCAATGATAATAGTCAGTAGTATTAGTATCTGGAACATACCACACTTTATCAGAAAATAGTTCTGAAGGACACAGTTCTCACACGCTCAACGTAATCAACTTAGCAGTCAACAAGTCAAACCCCACATTCATTGATTTGGAAACAGATCTAACAACCTAACCAAATGAATTATGTATCTGCTTCTGAAATAATAGATCGTTTATTATTATGCTTAATTCTATCCACATGTCCTATGTACTCTCTCCCATTTCCACATCCACCTACGTTTTTGAACAAGTCAACACCTATAATTTTATTATTTTACGTAGTCAATTTATCATAATACTGCATTACCTCTAACGTTTCTAAATATATCGTCCGAAACATACTCTAACAGATGTATCAAAATACAATGCATAGACGTCATATGACCACACCAATAAACGTGACCTGTTCCTCCAACAGGATTTATTCTACCCCTCCTGGTAACGTGAATTTTCTACACTCAGTTGGTCAATGAATATCCACGCACCATTTATTCTTCTCTTTCCTAAGTGATTGGGCACACCCTTTCTCCATCAGACAGAAGCTTCAAACCAACCTCAAATAGATTTCCCTTCCTTACAGAAAGACTATCTACTTACAGGATTTAATATTATATTCTCACTCACACAGATGAGCAGCCACTTGTGCCCAAATGAATCAGACAGTTGAATGACTCACAGCCGCACAAGCAACCCATTCACCATACGAGATGAGCAGACCTACTCTATATATAACACTTTATCAAAATTTGGAAGCCCTTGTAGCTATTTAACCCGTTCACCTACTCAGGATGACCTAACTTTTTTTCCTGATAGACCCTACATAATATTGACATCATCACAACACAGGATGATTCACTACTTACCCGTACAGACCTCTAACAAAGAATTTATCATCAGAGCGGTATCCGTAAGTAATCTTGTCTGTTCAGGCCAATGGAATGCTAATTATAGCCCTCCAAAGCGGTATCCACAAGATTTCTATTTATACTACGCTTTGCTAAGCGACCTGTCAATTCTGCCCTAATTTTTCTGTTACACTTCCTCAACACAGAAAAAGAAGCGGTATTACCCCAGGATTTCTGCCTACCTATGCAGTCCTCAAGACGATTAACGTCTAAAGCGGTATCTGCAGGACTTAACATGTTATTGTCTGATCGCTCAACCAGCCGTACAACCACCCATGTCCAAATGACCCAGACAGAGCAATCAGCAAGATGAATCAACTGAATCAAATGAATCAAATCAATTGAACAGACGGTTCAGACAAACAACAGCAACATGTATTCTTAAATTCAAAAGCTCCTAGTGTCTAACTTTCTGGTTCTTAAATTTGGAGAGACCTACTTGGTATTTCTTTAGATGTTGCCGAGTCCCGGATCGGACCACACAAACTTTATACTATTTTAGTAAGAACTTCTTACCTTTTTAAAAGCGGCCGCTTTTGTTTGTATGGTCCGTCCAAGCCGTTTCACAACTGCAAATACATACCGTCACTGATCCCTATCAAGTCCCTTCGTGGTCGCCAATTATGTTGTAGAAACATTTGACTAGATAATTAACTCAAAAATATCTCTCAAGACATCAGAGCCTGTGAATTTAAGAATTTAGACTTTATTTAAAAAACAAAGCCGAGCCTTTTTCCAAAGAGACAAAGACTGTCCCTTTTTCGCCAAGAGCTCAATTTTATAGCCACATGTACAAACATTCCTAACTTTTTTTTAGTTCGTACCACCCTCTCATTCGATCATTCTATTGGCTGCGTGCCTAGGCCCCTTCTCAAAAGCCCCTTCTTAAAAAACTAATGTAAATGCAAACCAGATGTCTAGAACAACCCCATGGCCTCAGTTTAAAAACCCCTGTAAAATAACACATCATATCCTTAATGTCTATATTCATTATTTAAACATATATCTGGATTATAAAATATCAAACATGTTCATTCTGTTTCACCATTATCATTTCATAATACATTATAAAACATTTATCATTCATCATCCTCTCAGCCCCTGAGATGATGTGCATGTGGCCATGTGTCAGGTCATAAGGTCATAAACATAAAGAAACGCAAACACTAGTTCCATTGTTACTTCTATCTCCACAGCCATCACGTCATTCACATTCCTAAACCAGCTGCAGAAGTTTTCATGAAAAACACATAATTATCTCTGCTCTGAATTCAACTGGCTCTCAATCCATAAACACTCCAAGGCATATAGATTTTCAATTTTACAACAGATCCATGCTTATTACTAATATTATTATTTTACCTTTGCCTACACTTGCCTTCATGATACATAAAATAACACCACACTATCAGATTAGAGCCATAATGGAGACTATACATCTAATACCCCACTACCAGATTAGAGCCATAATGGAGACTAGACATCTACCACCCCACTATCAGATTAGAGCCATAATGGAGACTAGACATCTACCACCCCACTACCAGATTAGAGCCATAATGGAGACTAGACATCTACCACCCCACTACCAGATTAGAGCCATAATGGAGACTAGACATCTACCACCCCACTACCACTATCAGATTAGAGCCATAATGGAGACTAGACATCTACCACCCCACTACCAGATTAGAGCCATAATGGAGACTAGACATCTAATACCCCCACTACCAGATTAGAGCCATAATGGAGACTAGACATCTACCACCCCACTATCAGATTAGAGCCATAAAGGAGACTAGACATCTACCACCCCACTATCAGATTAGAGCCATAATGGAGACTAGACATCTACCACCCCACTACCACTATCAGATTAGAGCCATAATGAAGACTAGACATCTACCACCCCACTACCACTATCAGATTAGAGCCATAATGAAGACTAGACATCTACCACCCCACTACCACTACCAGATTAGAGCCATAATGGAGACTAGACATCTAATACCCCACTATCAGATTAGAGCCATAATGGAGACTAGACATCTACACCCCACTACCAGATTAGAGCCATAATGGAGACTAGACATCTACCACCCCCTACCAGATTAGAGCCATAATGGGACTAGACCATCTAATCCCCCCAGATTAGAGCCATAATGGAGACTAGCATCTAATACCCCACTACCAGATTAGAGCCATAATGGAGACTAGACATCTAATACCCCCACTACCAGATTAGAGCCATAATGGAGACTAGACATCTACCACCCCACTACCAGATTAGAGCCAAATGGAGACTAGACTCTACCACCCCACACCACTATCAGATTAGGAGCCATAAAGGAGACTAGACATCTACCACCCCACTACCAGATTAGAGCCCTAAAGGAGACTATACATCTAATACCCCACTACCACTATCAGATTAGAGCCATAATGGGGACTAGACATCTACCACCCCACTCCAGATTAGAGCCATAATGGAGACTAGACATCTACCACCCCACTACCAGATTAAAAGCCATAATGGAGACTAGACATCTACCACCCCACTACCAGATTAGAGCCATAATGGAGACTAGACATCTAATACCCCACTAAACCCGATTAGAAAACCCTAATGAGACTAGACTCACCACCCCACTACCACTATCAGATTAGAGCCATAATGGAGACTAGACATCTACCACCCCACTCCACTATCAGATTAGAGCCATAATGGAGACAGACATTAACCACCAACCCCCACTACAGATTAGAACCATAATGGAGACTAGACATCTACCACCCCACTACCAGATTAGAGCCATAATGGAGACTAGACATCTAATACCCACTACCACTATCAGATTAGAGCCATAATGGAGAAATGACATCTAAAACCCACTATCAGATTAGAGCCATAAGGAGACTAAATCTACCACCCCCACTATCAGATTAGAGCCATAATGGAGATAGACATCTAATACCCCACTATCCCAAATTTGAGCCATAAGGAGACTAGACATCTACCACCCCACTATCAGATTAGAGCCATAATGGAGACTAGACATCTACCACCCCACTATCAGATTAGAGCCATAATGGAGACTAGACATCTACCACCCACTATCAGATTAGAGCCATAATGGAGACTAGACATCTACCACCCCACTACCAGATTAGAGCCATATGGAGACTAGACACTAATACCCCACTATCAGATTCGAGCCTAATGGAGACTAGACATTACAACCACCCCACTACCAGATTAAAAGCCATAATGGAGACTAGACATCTACCACACCAACTACCACTATCAGATTGAGCCAAAAGGAGACTAGACATCTAATACCCCACTATCAGATTTGAGCCTAATGGAGACTAGACATCTACCACCCACTATCAGATTAGAGCCAAATGGAGACTAGACATCTACCACCCCACTAAACCCCTATCAGATTAGAGCCATAATGGAGACTAGACATCTACCACTATCAGATTAGAGCATAATGGAACAGACATCTAATACCCCACTACCAGATTAGAGCCATTTAAAGGAGACTAACATCTACCACACCCACTATCAGATTAGAGCCAATGGAGACTAGAACACTACCCCCCCCCCACTACCACTACCAGATTAGAGCCATAATGGAGACTAGACATCTACCACCCCACTACCACTATCAGATTAGGCCTAATGGAGGGCAGAAAATCTACCACCCCACTACCACTATCAGATTAGAGCCATAATGGAGAAATAGACATCTAATAACCCATAAACCCGATTAGAGCCATAATGGAACTAGACATCTAATACCCCACTATCAGATTAGAGCCATAATGGGAGACTAGACATCTCCACCCACTACCAAATATCAGATTAGAGCCATAATGGAGACTAGACATCTACCACCCCCACTATCAGATTAGAGCCATATGGAGACTAGACATCTACCACCCCACTACCAGATTAGAGCCATAATGGAGACTAGACATCTAATACCCCACTATCAGATTAGAGCCATAATGGAGACTAGACATCTACCCCCCACTACCACTATCAGATTAGAGCCATAATGGAGACTAGACATCTACCACCCCACTACCACTATCAGATTAGAGCCATAATGGCAGACTAGGACATCTAACCACCCCACTACCAGATTTAGAGCCATAATGGAGGACTAGACCATCAAATACCCCCTATAAGATTAGTTAGAGCCATAATGGGAGACTAGACATCTAATACCCCACTATCGGATTAGAGCCATAATGGAGGAACTAGACAGTACTACCACCCCCACTACCACTTATAGATGAGCCATAATGGAGACTAGACATCTACCACCCCACTATCAGATTAAGGCCATAATGGAGACTAGACATCTAATACCCCCCTACCACTATCAGATTAGAGCCATAATGGAGACTAGACATCACCACCCCACTATCAATTAGAGCCATAAGGAGACTAGACATCTACCACCCAATCCACAATCAAATTAGATTAGAGCCATAACTGGAGGACAGACATCTACCACCCACCCCCTATCAGATTAGAGCCATAATGGAGACTAGACATCTACCACCCCACTACCAATTAGAGCCATAATGGAGACTAGACACTACCACCCCCACTACCAGATTAGAGCCATAATGGAGACTAGACATCTAATACCCCACTACAGATTAGAGCCATAATGGAGACTAGACATCTACCACCCACTACCAGATTAGAGCCATAAAGGAGACTAGACATCTACCAACCCCACTACCAGATTAGAACCATATGAGATAGACATCTACCACCCCACTACCACTATCAGATTAGAGCCATAATGGAGACTAGACATCTACCACCCCACTACCAGATTAGAGCCATAATGGAGACTAGACATCTAATACCCCACTACCAGATTAGAGCCATAATGGAGACTAGACATCTACCACCCCACTACCAGATTAGAGCCATAATGGAGACTAGACATCTACCACCCCACTACCAGATTAGAGCCATAATGGAGACTAGACATCTATACCCACCCCACTATCAGATTAGAGCCATAATGGAGACTAGACATCTACCACCCCACTACCAGATTAGAGCCATAATGGAGACTAGACATCTACCACCCCACTACCACTCAGATTAGAGCCATAATGGAGACTAGACATCTACCACCCCACTACCAGATTAGAGCCATAATGGAGACTAGACATCTACACCCCACTACCACTATCAGATTAGAGCCATAATGGAGACTAGACATCTACCACCCCACTATCAGATTAGAGCCATAATGGAATAGACATCTACCACCCCACTACCAATTGAAGCCATAATGGAGACTAGACATCTAATACCCCACTACCAGATTAGAGCCATAATGGAGACTAGACTCTACCACCCCACTACCAGATTAGAGCCATAAAAGGAGACAGACATCTCCCACCCCACTACCAGATTGAGCCATAAAGGAGACTAGACATCTAATAACCCCACTACCACTATCAGATTAGAGCCATAATGGAGAATAGACATCTACCACCCCACTACAGATTAGAGCCATAAGGGGGACTAGACATCTTTCCCCCCTACCACTATCAGATTAGAGCCATAATGGAACAGACATCTACCCCACCCCACTACCAGATTAGAGCCATAATGGAGACTAGACATCTACCACCCCACTACCAGATTAGAGCCATAATGGAGACTAGACATCTAACCCCCCCCCCCCCCCTACCAGATTAGAGCCATAATGGAGACTAGACATCTACCACCCCACTACCATATCGATTTGAGCCATAATGGAGATAGACATCTACTACCCCACTATCAGATTAGAGCCATAATGGAGACTAGACATCTACCACCCCACTACCACTATCAGATTAGAGCCTAATGGAGACTAGAATCTAATCCCCCACTACCGATTAGAGCCATAATGGAGACTAGACATCTACCCCCCCCACTACCACTATTCAGATTAAGCCATAATGGAGACTAGACATCTACCACCCACTACCAGATTAGAGCCATAATGGAGACTAGAACATCTACCACCCCACTAAACCACTATCAGATTAGAGCCCTAATGGAGACTAGACATCTACCACCCCACTACCAGATTAGAGCCATAATGGAGACTAGACATCTACCACCCCACTACCAGATTAGAGCCATAATGGAGACTAGACATCTACCACCCCACTACCAGATTAAGAGCCATAATGGAGACTAGACATCTACCACCCCACTATCAGATTAGAGCCATAATGGAGACTAGACATCTACCACCCCACTACCAGATTAGAGCCATAAAGGAGACTAGACATCTACCACCCCACTACCAGATTAGAGCCATAATGGAGACTAGACATCTACCACCCCACTACCAGATTAGAGCCATAATGGAGACTAGACATCTAATACCCCACTATCAGATTAGAGCCATAATGGAGACTAGACATCTACCACCCCACTACCAGATTAGAGCCATAATGGAGACTATACATCTACCACCCCACTATCAGATTAGAGCCATAATGGAGACTAGACATCTACCACCCCACTATCAGATTAGAGCCATAATGGAGACTAGACATCTACCACCCCACTACCAGATTAGAGCCATAATGGAGACTAGACATCTACCACCCCACTACCACTATCAGATTAGAGCCATAATGGGACTAGACATCTACCACCCCACTATCAGATTAGAACCATAATGGAGACTAGACATCTACCACCCCACTACCAGATTAGAGCCATAATGGAGACTAGACATCTACCACCCCACTATCAGATTAGAGCCATAATGGAGACTATACATCTAATACCCCACTACCAGATTTGGGTTGGGGCAATGTAGCAAGTTTTTTGTCAAAATAAAATAAAATCTTATTGATCGCATACACATATTGTCCCTCCCCCCACTTTGGTTCTGAAATCCCCATCACCAAATAATGAACTTGTCATTTTTGCAGATTAAGTGTTTGAGCTAGTAATGTATCAATATTTATAGTTTACAAATTAGCTATGACACAGCTAATGAAGATACACAGAGTGTACAAAACATTAGGAACACCTGCTCTTCCATGACATAGACTGACCAGGTGAATCCAGGTGAAAGCTATGATCCCTTATTGATGTCACTTGTTAAATCCACTTCAATCAGTGTAGATGAAGGGGAGGAGACAGGTAACATTTTTTTTAAGCCTTGAGACTATTGAGACATGGATTGTGTGTGTGTGCCATTCAGAGGGTGAATGGGCAAGACAAAATATGTTATTGCCTTTTGAACGGGGTATGGTAGTAGGTGCCAGGTGCACCGGTTTGTCAATAACTGCAACGCTGCTGTCGTTTTTCACACTCAACAGTTTCCCGTGTGTATCAAGAATTGTCCACCACCCAAAGGACATCTAGACAATTTTACACAACTGTGGGAAGCATTGACGTCAACATGGGTCAGCATCCCTGTGGAAAGCTTTTGACAGCTTGTAGAGTCCACGCCTCGACGAATTGAGGCTGTTCTGAGGGCAAAAAAAGGTGTTCCTAATGTGTTGTACACTCAGTGTATAGCACAACTTTGGATTTCACCCCCATCTTAAAAACTGAATGGTTTTGACCGTTTGGAAGTTGAGTGATTTTCTCTTCTCTTCTTCTCCTCTGGCGTCAGCCATGCAGTAAGTGACTGCTATCCTCGTTATGAAATGATCAACTTAACCCTGTATATTTAAAAATCGGCCATATACACTGACTGTTCAAAGCTAAACTACCAAAAACTATTGCTGATGGTGAAACTGAACACTCAAAATAAAATCTATTGTAATAATCCCCGGTTCAGCAGGTATAGCCAGATGAGAGTTGTGTCTCCGGTAGCTTACTTTTATTCTGGTAAAACATAAATGTTCAACAGTGCATAGATAACAGTAATATAGCAGATGACAGGTTGTCACTGCACTAACAAAGCCAAGACATTTTAGCATTTGAATGGTCAAGGTACCAGATCAGGAACAGGGCCGCCCTACCTCGCGTTGGTCAGCGTGCGAAGCTGAGCGCAGTTTGACTAAGCTACTGATAGTCCCTGGGGTTGTTCGGTATGCAACATGACTTGTAGATCAATAACTGTCAACACGGTAACATGCCGTTGGACACTGAAGGTAGAGGACGCATCAGTTATCACGAAAAAAGGAGGTATTTTCGGGAAGGTAGAAAGAATGTTAATACGAGCAAAACATTTTTATTGAACCGGCGATTCGTACATTTTGAAAGATTTTCTGACTGATGATGCTACATTTTGATCGGTTTGGGCTCCGCGGACCGCTGCACTTGTATCTTAAACATTTGAATCGGGGACCGATGAGTATCTGTGAATCATTACATCTCCAATTGGCACTCCATTCCCTTCACATTCACTACTTTTGACCAGAGACCACGGGGAATAGGATACTATTTGGAACACAGTCATTATTATCGCTGAGCTCACCAGGAAGGCTGCAGAGATGCCCACTTCCTGTTTGTCGTTGGAGAGGGAGTGGTCCACGCTGTTCACGCTCATCCGATTGGCCCAGAACTCCTCAGCGCTGATCACCTGACTCACCACCAGATCCTTGTAAAGCTGGAACAGAACCGGCTCTTCCTGTAACATTCTAGAGAGGGAGGGATAAACCCAACGGTCACATCCTCCCTCTGGCATACTAGCAGGAAGTTGAGACCAATGGGGCGGCGCACAATTGGCCCAGCGTCGTCCAGGGTAGGGGAGGGAATGGCAGGCAGGGAGGTAGCTCAGTTGGTAGAGCATGGCGTTTGCAACGCCAGGGTTGTGGGTTCGTTTCCCACGGGGGGGCCAGTATGAAAATAATAATGTATGCACTAACTGTAGTCGCTCTGGATAAGAGCGTCAGCTAAATGATGTAAATGTAAATGTTAGCTTACTTTGATGAACAACCAGAATTAACTATTGATATTCTGGTTTCATTAGGAAACCTGAACTTTGTTTATGTTTTTGGTTGTCAATTAGACCATACCCATTTCAAGCTTATCTTTCCAAAAAAAAAATGTTATTTCAGAAACATACAGTAAATATTATTCTATTTTAGTCAGATAATCTAGTTTTGCTATCTAGTTTCGGGTAAGTGGTACAGCTCTGGTATCATTCTGAGATTAAAACGATGGAGATCTGGGGTGTATTCAATAGTCGCACACTGCTGCAAAACATTTTACAACAGAAAATATTTTGCAAATAAAACAATTTCTATTGTACACATTCAGGTAGGTCACTCCCAGTTTTGTTCTGTTTGCTTCCTAGTGAATAGTCCCCCCTGTCTATGTTATTGATACACTGCAGTGAAAGTTAGGGGATCACCTGTTCTTCTCCTCCAGTTCCCTGTTGGCCCTCTTCTTGAACTTGGGCAGCAGCTGCTGGAGGAGATCCTTGGCTGCATCGCGGTCCTTCAGGGCAGTGCTCTCGTTGGAGAAGTGGAAGTTGGTGCTCTCCCCCGTGTGGAGGACCAACTGCAGCTGAATCTTGGCCTTGCCGTCTGGGCTGATCTTCTGACCTGCACAGGGTGGGGAGAAAATAGGCTACTAAGTTACTACTATAAATATTAGTCATTATATACACATTCTGATGACTACTTATAGAGTACTACCATCCAAAGTAAGACCCCTCACATATAATGTGAAGCATCAATGCTACTGTAGCAGGGTGCAGGTGAGTGAGTGAGTGAGTGAGTGAGTGAGTGAGTGAGTGAGTGAGTGAGTGAGTGAGTGAGTGAGTGAGTGAGTGATGAGTGAGTGAGTGAGTGAGTGAGTGAGTGAGTGAGTGAGTGAGTAGGTCCGTACGTCCGTCCGTCCGTCAGTCCGTCCGTCCGTCCGTCCGTACGTCGGACGGATACGTGAAAGAAGAGATAGAGAAGAAAGAGAGCAGACGCATCAGTGAGATCTAGCGATGACGAGGCTGACGAGAACGACGAGAGACAGAGATGTCAGACTTCTAGTCATCGTTCGCGATCTCAGCGATCCTCTATTACTCTCTCTCTCTCTTCTCTCTCATCTCTCTCTCTCTCCTCTCTCTTCTCTCTCTCTTCTCCTCTCTCTCTCTCTCCTCGTGCTGACTAGCCAGTGACCTGGTAAACTCTTTGTCAACTTTAATGGCCTAAAAGGGCAAAAGCCTCTCTCTGTTTTGTTTTTGTCCGTGAGAAAGCTTGAAGTACAATTAACTTTCAGATTAACAACATCTCCATATCCTCAAGAACAATTATTTGACAGCGTCTAAACTAGCATACACAGTAGGCTTTGTAAGTCAATTCCAGTCAAAGCCCCTGACGCTTGTTCTTGTTATTTCGCGTATGAGATTGAAGTACAATTAACTTTCAGTTAACATTTCCATGTCCCAAGCTAATCAATTAATTGACACAGTCATAGACCTCAGGCTTCCTCTACAAGACGTCCTGTGTAAGTGCAATCCAGGTCACCCCGAAGGCATGCCATGGTAATGAGTGAAGGATATGTCAGATACAGGTGGTGACGGTGAAGAGGTTTTCCCTTGGCCAGGCTACCTCTGCATCAGGTAGAGGGTCCCGTCTTGTCCTGCGGACTCTTCACCACGCAGCACCTCTCGACAACGCTGCATGGCTAAGGGGGGAGGTGATTGAGGGAGGGGGGGGAGGGGGGGAGGGAGAGGAAAGGCATGAGGGGGAGAGAGGGAAGGAGAGGGGAAGAGAGGTGCGACGAGGGGGTAGGGAGAGGGGAGAGGAGGAGAGGGGAAGTGCGAGAGGTGGAGGGGGAGGGTGGAAGAGGTAGAGCGGGAAGCGGAGGAGTATGGAGAAGATGGGGAAGGAGGCGTGAGGGAGAGGTTAGGTAGGGGGCGTGGTAGAGGAGAGGTCGGAGCATGAGAGGCGAGGGGATAAGGAGTGGGGGAGGAAGGGGAAGGGAGGTGCACTGGGAGGGGATAGGAGAGGGAAGGAGCGGGGGAGGGATGGGACAGTCTGGCGATGCTAGGAGAGCGGGGGGATGGGTGAGGGAGGAGGTATGAGGGCCAAGGTGAGCGGTGGAAGGGAGCGGGGTCGAGGATGAGGGAGAGCAGGGAGAGGAGAGGGGGGTCGAGATGGGAGAGAGGAGCTGAGCGGCAAGGAGAGGGACACGAGGAGGGGGGTATGGAGACGGGAGAGAGTGGGAACGGGGAGGAGAAGTGAGGGGGAGGGGGCAGGACGATGGATGTGAGAGGCGGAGGGGCACAGGGAGGGGAAGAGGAGAGGAGAGGAGAAGGAGAAGAGAATATACCTGTTATTAGTTAGCTAAAGATAACACAAATTCTAAATCAGGTTTTCAGAAAGTATTCACACCCTTGACTTTTCCCATGTGTTACAGCCTGAATAAAATGGATTAAATATATGTTTTTATTGTCACTGGCCTACGCACAATACACCATAATGTCAAAGTGGAATTATGTTTTTTAGAAAGTTTTACAAATTAATTAAAAAAGAAAAGCTGAAATATCTTGAGTCAATAAGTATTCAACTGGCAAGCCTAAATAAGTTCAGGAGTAAAAATGTGCGTAACAAGTCACATAAGTTGCATGGACATTTTTATTGAATAAGTTGCATCATTTTAGACCCTGTGTGATCACGCTCTCTGTAGCCAATGTGAGTAAGACCTTTAAACAGGTCAACATTCACAAGGCCGCAGGGCCAGACGGATTACCAGGACGTGTACTCCGAGCATGCGCTGACCAACTGGCAAGTGTCTTCACTGACATTTTCAACCTCTCCCTGTCTGAGTCTGTAATACCAACATGTTTCAAGCAGACCACCATAGTCCCTGTGCCCAAGAACACTAAGGTAACCTGCCTAAATGACTAGTGACCCGTAGCACTGACGTCAGTAGCCATGAAGTGCTTTGAAAGGCTGGTCATGGCTCACATCAACACCATCATCCCAGATACCCTAGACCCACTCCAATTCGCATACCGCCCCAACAGATCCACAGATGATGCAATCTCTATTGCACTCCACACTGCCCTTTCACACCTGGACAAAAGGAACACCTATGTGAGAATGCTATTCATTGACTACAGCTCAGCGTTCAACACCATAGTGCCCACAAAGCTCATCACTAAGCTAAGGACCCTGGGACTAAACACCTCCCTCTGCAACTGGATCCTGGACTTCCTGACAGGCCGCCCCCAGGTGGTAAGGGTAGGTAACAACACATCTGCCACGCTGATCCTCAACACAGGGGCCCCTCAGGGGTGCGTGCTCAGTCCCCTCCTGTACTCCCTGTTCACTCATGACTGCATGGCCAGGCACGACTCCAACACCATCCTTAAGTTTGCCGATGACACAACAGTGGTAGGCCTGATCACCGACAACGACGAGACAGCCTATAGGGAGGAGGTCAGAGACCTGGCAGTGTGGTGCCAGGATAACAACCTCTCCCTCAACGTGATCAAGACAAAGGAGATGATTGTGGACTACAGGAAAAAAAAGAGGACTGAGCACGCCCCCATTCTCATCAACAGGGCTGTAGTGGAACAGGTAGAGCTTCAAGTTCCTTGGTGTCCACATCACCAACAAACTAACATGATGCGGTTCATAAAAGCATTGACGATGTGTTGACTTGACAACTGTGTCCAAATGTTTAACTAAAATGAGAGTTAAGGTGATGTCCCCTTAATAATGAATCCAAGTGTTTGACATGGGGGAGAGGACCAGTAACTTTATGATCAAACTTTATCAATGTAGAAGCAACAGTAATTATTCATACTTTGGTCATCATATTTTGATCTGGTTTCCTTCGAATATCATCCAATTTCATGAAAAACATGATTTGGACTGTTCATGACCTTTAACATGATTTTTTGAATGGACTACCTCATCTATGAACAAAACACATACAATTATCTTACTATTTACTTACTATGACTAATGTGGTTGTCCCACCTAGCCATCTTAAGATGAATGCACTAACTGTAAGTAACTCTGGATTAGAGCGTATGCTAAATGACTAAAATGTAAATCTGAAAGGTCCCTCAGTCCAGCAGTGAATTTCAAACACAGATTTAACCACAAAGACCAGGGAGGTTTTCCAATACTTAGCAAAGAATGGCACTTATTTGAGCTTGGTGAAGTAATTAATACACCCAGTCACTAAAAGACACAGGTGTCCTAACTCAGTTGCCGGAGAGGAAGGAAACCGCTCAGGGATTTCAACATGAGGACAATAGTGACTTTAAAACAGTTAGATTTCAATGGTTGTGATAGGAGAAAACTGAGGAAGGATCAACAACATTGTATACTGAACAAAAATATTAAACGCAACATGCAACAATTTCAAAGCTTTTAATGAGTTACAGTTCATATCAGGGAATCAGTCAATTGAATTAAATGTATTAGGCCCTAATCTATGGACTGCACATAATTGGGAATACAGATATGAATCTGTTGGTCACAGATACCTTAAAAAAGGTAGGGGCGTGGATCATAAAACCAGTCAGTTTCTGGTATGACCACCATTTGCCTCATGCAGAGCGACACGTCTCCTTCGCATAGAGTTGATCAGGCTGTTGATTGTGGCCTGTGGAATGTTGTTCTACTCCTCTTCAAGTTACTGGATATTGGCGGGAACTGGAACACGCTGTCGTAGACGTTGATCCAGAGCATCCCAAACATGCTAAATGGGTGACATGACTCCGCAAAAATCAAAGCAGCGACTCGCTCTTGCAGGTTCATGCTCTACAACATCCATAGAGTATGATCCTACCTCACACAGGAAGCGGCGCAGGTCCTAATCCAGGCACTTGTCATCTCCCGTCTGGACTACTGCAACTCACTGTTGGCTGGGCTCCCTGCTTGTGCCATCAAACCCCTGCAACTTATCCAGAAAGCTGCAGCCCGCCTGGTGTTCAAGCTTCCCAAATTCTCCCATGTCACCACGCTCCTCCGTACACTCCACTGGCTTCCAGTCGAAGCTCGCATCCACTACAAGACCATGGTGCTTGCTTACGGAGGAGCAAGAGGAACTGCCCCTCCTCACCTTCAGGCTCTGCTCAAACCCTGCACCCCAACCGGAGCACTCCGTTCTGCCACTTCTGGTCTTCTCTGTCCTGGCACCCCAATTGTGGAACCTGCTTCCCCCTAAAGCTAGGACAGCAGAGTCCCTGTCCATCTTCCAAAAACATCTGAAACCCTCTTCAAATAGTATCTTAAATAATACCAACCCCCCCCCCCCCCCCAACACCAAAAAATGCATTTTGTGAACCAACACTCACACTTCACTCTTTTCCCCACTTACTAGCTGTGACTTTGCTGATAGCTACTTCATTTAAGAAAAATGAACTTACTATGACTGATGTGGTTGTCCTACCTAGCTAAGATTAATGCACTAACCGTAAATCGCACCGGATACAAGGATCTGCTAAATGACTGTAACGTAGCAGGTGTATGCATCTCTGTCCGAGCCAGAAAGAACATGTGCAATGGATTATGGTCATTGTAGTTAATTACCACATTCCTGCGCTGAACTAGGTAAAATATTTTGTTAATGAAAACTACAACTCCCTTCAGCCTAGCGTCCCACATAGTTCTTGACTTTATTTCTCTCCTGAATGATTTAATTTCTCTCTAGAGAAACGGCGCGTTGGGCTAAAAAAACTAAATGGAATTCATGTAATTAAACAATTAGTTGTTTAATAACCCCCCCCCCCCCCAAAAAAAAAAATACATTTTGGTTAATTACTCAGCACTATTATATGCTAAGGTATTAGTTAGTTGACTAGTCCTGAGCCATGACTGTTGTGTAGGAGTCTACAGCCATGTCTCAAGCAGGGCAACTACCGTTAGCTAGATCGGATGACACTGATTACCTCCTAACTAAAATGTTTTATTTATTTAACTAGGCAAGTCAGTTAAGAACAAATTCTTATTTACAATGACGGCCTACCCGGGCCAAACCCTCCCCTAACCCGGACGACGCTGGGCCAATTCTGCGCCGCCCTATGGGCC